CGCGCGCCCGCCTCCGCGGCCGCCCGCGGCGCCCGCGCCGCGCGCCCGCAGCAGCAGCTCGCGGTCGTCATAGGGCTGCGCGTTGGCGTCGAGCGTGCGCTCCAGGGACCCCTTGAGCTCGTCCAGGCGTGGGTGCTTGAACAGGGCCAGGAGCTGCGGGAGTACATCAATTGGGCGTGGCACACGAGCGCATGTCAGGGGGCCAAGGTTGCAAATCATGCAATGTAAGGCTGACCGCTGCCGGTGAGTACTGGCAGCCGCAACCATCCGTCAAGCGACAGCCAGGTTGCTGCTGGCCGATGGAGCCGAGTAACCCAAGGGGACAAACTGCTGGATTCGCAGCCGCCACGGCCGCGTCATGGTGTGTGCCCCTTGTGCGCATGCTCCCCCGTCAGCCGGCGCTGCTCACCCCCTCAACCAGGTCCTGGGTCAGCAGGCTGATGTCCAAGCAGAGGTCGAACTGGCCGGGGCGCAGCTCCTCCGCCGCAAACACGGCCGCCAGGACCGCGGCGTGGTCGGGGAAGCTCCCCAGGAACACCTTGCCCTGCTCGTCGTCCAGCCTGTCGCCCACGTACAACTTCCACTCGGGCGTGCCGCTCTTGTCGTATCGGATCTTTGGGGCTGGCCGCAGCGGCATGAGTTGCTGCAATGGAGGATGTGTGGAAGTGTCAAGGCGTTGAGGATGAATCTGGGGGCGTGGGTGCAACGGGGGGCCCCAATTGTGAACCTAGAATGGTCGGTGCGCCTGTTCACAACACAGCCGGCCGCCTCCAAAAAATCATCCCCGTTTCTGCGGCTGTACAGGTGGCAATCACCACATTCTTGTGCAGTCGGCAGGGCTTTGTCTGTGGCGGGTCACCGATTCCTCCCCACGCACAAGTCCGCAAAATAGCTCGATCCCCAAAGCGCCACTAAGGCCCCCCCTCACACACACATACAATCACGCGTGCAAACACACCCACATACCCACACACCCTGTGCTACTCACTAGCGCAGCCGCGTCGCTCAGCGGCTTGTACATCAGGCGGGCCGCTGCACAGTCGATTATCTCCAAGCACCGCAGGTCGCTGTTGTAGGCGACGGGCTCGTACAGGCGGTCGGCGGTGCAGAGTGAAAGAGCCTGCAGATAGCCTGGGCGATAAAATTGGGGTGGACGTGGCTGAAGAAGAGAAACAGCAAACACGGCAGCAAGCATTAGGCCGCCAGCCGCAACGGTGCAAGCGGTTGCGCCACACGCCAGCCCGCTTCGTCCAGCAAGACGTACGTGGCTGACGTATGCATGCGTGATGGTGGTCTGCAATTCTTTTGCCGCTGACTGGAGCGAAGTGTGTGCAGACAGCAGTAGCAGCGCCGCGTGCTTTATACACACCCCACTCACTTGCGCTGAGGACGCAGGCGACTCGGCCGCCTGCAGACTTGTACGACGCCTCCCGGGCCACCACCATCACAGTGCAGGGGTGGATGTTGTGCGACAAGACGGCTATGTCCCCGGGCGGACCGTGGGCCGCCGCCGGCTTGAAGACGGCGCTGGACAGGTTGCCAGCCACGTGGTCGGCAGAAGCCCCCAGCTCCAGGATGCTGCTGGACGGGTAGGTGTTGTGGGCCCTGACGCGCTCGTACACAAGCTGTCAGGGTGGGTAGGTGGGAGGGGCATGGGAGCAGGAGGCATGCTGAGGGTGAGGGGCGCAGCAGGTGCGGCCAAGCAGGGGTGCGGCCAGCTGCGGGGTTGCAGCTCTTGATTGTCCCGAGCACTACGATCCCATCTATGGGCGAGGTACTGGCGACGCCACAGCCTGCGAGTTTCCCAGCCCCAGTGCTGTGGCGGTTTTGGCTGTTGTCCTATCTCCTGGCACAGCGCGGCGGTGGAAGCTCACAGGTGTCATCTTGCCGTGATCATCCAGCTTGGAGTCCCACTCGATCTTGTACATGCCGTCGTCATTGGGGCCGTCGCTGCCGATCCGACCAAAGCTGAGTAGCCGAAACGCAGAAAGGGGCGCGGGGGAGCCATCGGGCTCAGTGCTCACAAGCACAGGGGTATTCTTCTTCAAGAACCTGGGCACGAGAGGCGGCACCATGGGGCGAGCCTGCGACTGCAACGTGGGAGCAGCGGGGGTGGTGGCGGTAGGGTAGGAGGGGGCTGAGAACCAGAACGGAGTGCGGCCGCGTGAGGTCTCTAGGTGGCAGTTCTGGCTGTGCGCTACTCCCCTGTTGGATGCACCCGCCCAGGCACAGGCGCGGCAGTCAGCAGCAGCAGCAGCACCAACACAAGGTCAAGATCGCGTGCTACTGCTGCTGCCAAGCTGGCTCACAGTACTTCTGCCCACCACGGCCTCCATTCAAGCACACGCTGGTCCGCGATCCGTGCTACGACGACTCCAGGTGCGGTTGGCTGCTATCACGAACAAGCCGGGAGAGGCCCTGCACGCTGATCGACGGGTGGGACGCCTTATCTTAAGAAAAAATAGTAGATATAGTAACAGACCTTATGAAGCATACGGTATGCGCGATGCTACCGTAGTCTCATCCACGTACAGCGCAGAGCTTCAGGGCGGGCACAGCCACAGTTCAAAATCAACGCGGGCCTTTTGAACCAGGCGCGCCGACGATATCAGTATTTGTTGTCTGCTTGCCTACGCATACGCATGTGCCACCTCCTCCCCTCGGCGCCTTGGAGATTGCCCACACACGCGAAGAGCAGCAAGCGATCAGCCTCGCGCGCACGGCTCGCCACGAGCAGCTAGGGCACGCTGTATGTGGCTGCTGAGCGCTGCACAGCCAGGCGCGATGCTGCATGCCTTCGCCCTCGCTGCAACAGCACACGGAGAGGTGCGTTGCACCGGCAGCAGCAGAGCACGACAAGCACAGGAGCAGAGCAACTTCCTGTCCATTGCATCAGCAGCAGCAGGGAGCATGCTGCCGTTGCAGCATCAGCAGCAGGGGAGCGCGCTGCTGTCGAGTCGGGCGAAACAGGGAAGCGTGCACGTGCGGCAGGGGGCGGTTCCGCCAACACCTTGGTTCAAACCAGCCGGCTTCAAAGGCCGCGGGGGCACCTGCACTCATCATGCATTGCTAGTGTTGTTACTATGCTCTATCATGTTGCGGTGGTAGCGACAGCCACCATTTTGAGGGGTGGTGGCGAAAGCCACCCTTTTGGTTGAGCTCCAACAAGCTCTGGCGGCCGCTATAGCGCGCGCCGACCCAACGGCGACCCCGCAAGCGCAAGTCAACCACTTGTTGGGATTTGTTAAACCAGCGCACCGGACCTGAGGCGACCCCGCAAGCGCAAGCCAACCTCAGGGTTTTGATGCTGCCGCACAGGTGCGGGCAGACCCAACGGCGTCCCGCGGCTAGGCCATGGGTGCCCCTTGTTGGGATTTGTGCCTGCAGAGGTGACTCTATTCTGGGGTTAAAGAGCAAGGGGGCATGCATGTAGATCACACCTTTATGAGTTGACAGTCATTGTTTATTGGGGATGTTTGAAAATAATTACAGATACAGCAGAAAACATTTAATAGTGGTAGGAGAAATTGTTTGTGGAATGAATGTTTTGCTGCCAGTGCAATGCATTAAGTAGCCTGCTAATGCAGCAAAGAAGCCACGCAGCAGCTGTGCGCGAGCGCGCCAAGCCCTCGTGCAGTAGGTGAGGGGAAGCTTGCTCACCGGGCTCGGCGAGCTCGTGAGCCAGCTTCTCCGCGGCTTCTTGATGCTGCTGCACGGCCCGCTTGCTTGGTTGCTTGTTTGCGCTGTGTTGGTGCGTTCTCGCGAATGATGCATTCGCGACCAGGTCGATCTGGTGTTGACCGAGGCGTGTGGGCGGGGGCGTGCTTCGTGCTATGTTGCAACGGTGCTCAAGTAGCTTTATTGATTTTATTTTGATGCTATTGTCACCGGCGTGAGGTCAGATCGGCGGAGAGCACCCACGACCATGTCAAACGGGGCCTGAGACGCATCAATTAATGCACGACGACTCTTGGGTAGCACCAGAATCCAGAGGGGTTGCATATTCAACAGGTCGGTGCTACGTGCGCATGTGCGGCAGCAGGCGCAGTGGCGTGAAGCGCGCAGCAGCAATGCGCTGTGCTGCTGCGAGGCCCACCAAGAGGCAAGAAGTTTGAAAGCAGTGCAGAAGCAGTCATGCATCAGTGTGCGCGCCACCAACATGTGCTTGTGGGCCAGGCATCGCTGCGCTGCTTACGCCTGCATGTGTTGCCGCAGAACGTGCAAGTGGCGATCAAGGTTTATCCCGTAACATCACAGTAAGCCCCTATCACTGCGAGGGATTGAATGTGCCTGGTAGATTACATGATGGCTGCATGTGCACTTTGAGACACCGTGGCACACTCATGTGCTGCCGCCACAGCTGGGTGAACGCTCCCGCCAAAACCAAACACTCAGCGCTGAACTCAGGCTCGACGAAACGCACATCTTCTCACCAGCAGCTTTGAACGATTGCACGCCGGCAAAGTGCGGCAGTCCCAGATTGTGTGTGTTTCTCATTGCATGGCCTGTCAGTTCTGTGATTCGCGTATAGGGCACCAGGAGACTTCAACTTACTCATAGGCGTAATGTCAACTTCTCAGTGCGCATGCATGGGCCGAGATGACTCGTATCAAAGGGCACATGCCGTGAGACGAAACAACGAAGGGGTATCGCTAGGGGAAACGGTACTCAAAGCATCAGGCGTTTCTTGAAGGGCAGTCTGCACCACAAGTATGGGGTATGACAGCCAACACCGGTGCTTACACTGCCATACGTGCGTAGTGTGCGTGGTACACACAGGCACAGCACCGTGCGTTGAGTGGAGCACAGGGCGAGGGCACACCGACAATACGCCATTGACTTGCACAGCGACGCGTGCCAGCCAAAGCAGCCACACGCTCTCGCTCGTTGATGAGCATGAGCCTCGCCCGTGTGAAGGAAGCAAAGGCGTGCGGCCGCGGCTGGGCCTGCGGCCGCAGCGATTACCGTATGGGGCAGGTGCATGTCATTTTTGCTGCCCTTATAGCCCCCTGACTGCTGGGGGTCAGGCCTGGCAATAGTGATCAGGTGTGTGCAGAAACGCTCTTTTGGATGACGTGCGGGCATCATGGACGATAGGTAGCGGCCGCCTTGCCGGCGCCCAGATCCGGGCCGGGGTGCACATCCTGCTGGCGGCGGCGCGGCGATCAACACATCAGGGAGGTGCCATAGGAGCGGCGGCACAAACTCGGAGCTCCGCACGATATGCATAGCCCTGGCAAGCACACGCTCGTGCGCCCACATGCTGCACACCACCGTCGCTGCAACCGCCATCGCCAACGCTGCCGCAGCTCTTCTCGTGTGCTGTGCCACATGACCCTGCAATGATGAGTTTGTCAAGGATAAGGTTGTTATAAACTCCAAACAAGCACTTGGAAACCAGGGCTCCAAACCTTGCATATAGAGTTGTGACATGGGGTCGCTTGGGGAGCTCCCAAGGCCAATGCGCAACAGCAGACCTGCAAGAACTGTGGGGACGAGGGCTGGTGGGGTTGCTGCCCGTCCCCATACGCCCAGCTGCGGCATCGACACTCTGCCGTTGAACGCAGCCCTCACCTGTTGTGGCGCGTTACTGGCGGGTGCACAGGGTGAGAGAAGTGGGCGGGGAGAGGAGTGGGCGGGGCCAGGGGGTTTCGGGGAGGACGGCGGGGGAAGAGGTGAGGGTGCGGGCGCAAGCACAGGAGCAGCAGAAATGATCGTCTCAAGCGCTCAAGCTGGTAGCGCTGCCTCGTAGCCCTGATGGCGCCGGGTGATGTTCCCCCACAAGCAGGTGTGACTTGATGCGCGGCCCGGCGTTGCAGTGAGCTTGTAGGACAGCGCGCACTGATGGCTGGTGCTATCAATGGGCAGCTTGATGCCATCACCAACTCACCGGTGGCTGTACTGATGGTTTTGGTCCATAGACACAGACATCATCACATTTCACCTTTGGGGAGACATAGCAGATGAAGAATCAGCGGGAATGGGGCATCAAGGTGCGCGTGCGTTCACAGGTTGGAGGCCCTGGCAGGCCTGCCCGCCCACTTGCTCATGCCACCTGCATCCGTGGACATCCACGCACGCTACTGAGAGGCGGGGGCTCTGCATCTCTCGCCCCTCATGAAGTTCACCCCAGAATCCCGGCCAGAGTGAACCCCGCTGTTGTGTGCAGCCAACTTGACCCACGACCCTGCAAGGCTGGAGCCCGCCCAAAGCCAGTGCTGCAAGACAATCAATCACCCCACGACCCCCACCTAAAAGCGCAGCACGCTGGACCGCGTGGCCAGCCGTTTGCCGCCACTGCACGCTGGAAAATAGGCCCGCCCTTGCCGTGCCCTGCATCCACTCTTCCGCCACACCCGCCTGCAACCTGTCCAGTTGTTGCAGACACAGCTGACACCACCGCCCCCGAGCTTTTGAAAGCTGGCCGTCTGCATCTGCTGGGGCAGGGGAGGCTCAGGGGCGCACTTTTTCACGGACAGCGGGTCTGGTGTGGAGATTTGGACAGCAAAGAGTGGGGACCAAGGTCAAGGGTAGAACCCTGGGCAAATGCATGCAGGCTGTCGCTTGTTGGCACGGGTGCAGCCCTGGTGCACCCTAAAGCAGCATCTCCCACATCTATAACTGCGTCCAGCTGCCTCACAGCCTGTGCAGGACGCCAGTCAAGGGGCGCCATCCCCTTATCGCCCCTTCATCGCTGCAAGCTGCTGCGCCGCAGCAGCTTGCACACGACGCTCGTGCTGTGGCCTGCTACGCACCAAGCACATCACCCCTGCCAGCCTTGCATCCTACCTGACTGGTTTCGCGCCCAAGGTGCAGCTTCGTCTGCAGCTGGCGACGTCAGCCCCCGGGTGCCGGCTGCCAGGAAAATCACACACAGAGAGTCGGGCCGGGGCCGTCTGCAGCGCGGCGGGACCTCGGCAGCCGCGCTTTTCGCACTGATTCGCGAGCCAGGGGTCCCAGACAGGTGGGGTCGAGGCGGCCAACCCGCCTTGGAACCGCCAGGCTGACGCTGCCGTTGAAGCCGTGTCATTGGGAGGCTTGGCATGGGAAGCATGAGCACCTGCAGCGGGGAGCCAAGCGCAGCCTGCAGCTGTTTTGCGCACAGCCGGCGGCCCCTCCTGCGGACAGGTGCAGGCAACGCGAGATGCGGTATCAAATCAATCGGATAGAAATCGCCCCAGTGCACACGCGGCGATCGCGGATATACGAGGAGAGGGCCGCGCGGTCAGGAACCTGCGTTCGGCGTTGTGATAAGAATACGGCTAGATCGCAATGTCGTGTTATAAGGATGAAATGCTTGTGCGTGTGCACAAGGACACCCTTCTTTGCCCTCCTCCGCCAGCCAGTGTGCGCCTGTGTCACCCTGTAGGCACCCGGTCATCCTCAGGGGCAATCACTGCGGCCGCAACACGCATATAAGTCCGCATGCGAGCTGGCAACCTGCATGCGCGCAGCCTCGTTGCCCTTGCATGCATGCAAAATTTCCAGCACAAGGGTTGAATGCAAAACGCCGGCAGCCTCGCTGCAGGCTTGCTCCAGCACTGGCTCAGCACGGGCCGGCATGTTGAGGGACTGCTTGGGCATTGCATATGATACGGTCTCTCAGCCCTTATCAGCATCACAGCGGGATTGGCCAACGCGCCTGCTGCACGCAGCTGTCAGGGAAACAGGCATCGCCTGGCACCCGTCATCCTGGCAACAGGCAACGAGAGCCTGGCTGGCGCCGCAAGGACGGACGGCTGCAGATCTGGCCTTGAGCACCAAAAGTCACACAAGGCGTAAGCTCTTGTGTGTGCGTGCGTGCGTGCGTGCGTGCGTGCGTGTGTGTGTGTGCGTGCGTGCGTGCGTGCGTGCGCGTCGTGCGTGCGTGCGTTTGTACACACAAATGCCAGCTGGCCAGCTTCCATGGCGTCGTAACAGGCTCCATGACAAACATGGCAAAAATAAAGTGCACGCAGGTTTCCGCGCCCAGCGCCCGGCCTGCTGCTGGGAGCCAGCGGCTGCCTTGGCGGGGCCCTGCCCTTGACAAGCCGTTACTCAAGTACAGAGCCAGGCTGCTGCAAGGGCACAGATCCAAGAGGCTAGGTAGAAGGCGCTTTGAAAGAGCAGCGTCACAAAAGCAGGCACGTGCGCCAATGGGAATTTGTTGCTGCTATGAGTTAGCCGGCTTCATACGCTGCAGGGGGGACTTGCACTAATCGTGTATTTCTGGAAATGCTTTCCTGATTGACCATGTTGTGGTGGTGGCGATAGCCACCGATTTGAGGGGTGGCAAAAGCCACCCTTTTGGTTGAGCTCCATCAGGCTCTGGCGGCCGCTATAGCGCGTGCCGACCCAACGGTGACCCCGCGAGCGTCAGCCAACCACATGTTGGGATTTGTTAACCCAGCGCACCGGACCTGAGGCGACCCCGCGAGCGTCAGCCAGCCTCAGGGTTTTGGTAGCAACAGCCACCCTTTTGGTTGAGCTCCATCGAGCTCTGGCGGCCGCTATAGCGCGCGCCGACCCAACGGTGACCCCGCGAGGGTCAGCCAACCACATGTTGGGATTTGTTAATCCAGCGCACCGGACCTGAGGCGACCCCGCGAGCGTCAGACAGCCTCAGGGTTTTGGTAGCAACAGCCACCCTTTTGGTTGAGCTCCATCAAGCTCTGGCGGCCGCTATAGCGCGCGCCGACCCAACGGTGACCCCGCGAGCGTCAGCCAACCAGATGTTGGGATTTGTTAATCCAGCGCACCGGACCTGAGGCGACCCCGCGAGCGTCAGCCAACCTCAGGGTTTTGATGCTGCCGCACAGGTGCGGGCAGACCCAACGGCGTCCCTTGGCTGGGCCATGGGTGCCCCTTGTTGGGATTTGCGCCTGCAGAGGTGACTCTATTCTGGAGTTAAAAACACGGGGGCATGCAAGTAGATCACACCTGTAGATGTTGTCGTTTTTGTTGATTGGAAATGTTTGACCATACTGTATGTATAGGTAGATGAAAACATGTGTTGGTGCTATGACAAAAGAAAGTGATTTGCGGAATGAATGTTTTGGTGCCAGCACAACGCATTAAATAGCCTGCTAATGCAGCGAAGAAGCCACCCAGCAGCTGTGCGCGCGCGCCCCAAGCCCTTTTGCAGTAGGTGAGGGGAAGCTTGCGCACCCAGCTCGGCGAGCTCGTGAGCCAGCTTCTCGGCGGCTTCTTGCTGCTGCTGCACGTCCCGCTAGCTTTCTTGTTTGTTTGCGCTGTGTTGGTGCGTTCTCGCGAATGTTGTATTCGCGACCAGGTCGATCTGGTGTTGACCGAGGTGTGTGGGCGGATCCGTGCTTCGTGCTGTGTTTCAAAGGTGCTCGCATAGTTGTATCGCGTTATCTATGATGCTTTTGTCACCGGCATGAGGTCAGATCGGCGGAGGGCACCCACGACCATGTCAAACAGGGCTTGCGATGCATAAGATACTGCACTACGATTGATTGGGAGCACTTAACTCCATCCAGTGTTGCATACGCAGCAGGGTGGCAGTGCGTGCGAACGTGCGGCAGCAGGCGCAGTGGCGAAAAGCGCGCAGCACGAGCAGCGATGTGCTCTGCTGCTGCAAGCCCCACCAAGAGGCAAGAACGAAGTCGAAAAGCAGTGCGCAAGCAGTCACACATCAGTGCGCGCGCCACCAACGCGTGCTTGTCGGCTGTGGATCGCTGCGCTGTTCACGCCTGCGCGTGCTGCCACGGAATGTGCGAGCATTGACCCTGTGATGAGCCCCAATCACTGCAATGGGTTGCGTGTGCCTGGCAGACTATATGATAACAACAGAAAAGCGGGCACGTGTGTCAAGGGGTAACTCTTGCTGCATCAACTGGCTCCAAATCAGCCGGCTTCAAACGCCGCGGGGGGCAACTGCATTCATCGTGCGTTGTCGATGCTTCATTTTGTTCACGATCATGTTGTGGTGGCGATGACAGCCACCGATTTGAGGGGTGGGTGGCCAAAGCCACTCTTTTGGTTGAGCTCCACCAAGCTCTGGCGGCCGCTATAGCTTGCGCCGACCCAACGGCGGCCCCACCAGCACGAGTCAACCACATGTTGCGATGTAAAAACAGCGCACCGGAGCAAAGGCCGCTCCTCAAGCGACAGTCGACGTGTGTGTCTTGATGCTGCGGCACACAAGCGTACGCACAGCATCCCTTGGCTGGCTGCGGGTGCCCTTGTTTTGGGATATGTGCCTGTGGGTGCGTTTGTTGTGTTTGGTGCGGGAGCGAGGGGGCATTGCAGACACATGCAGGAATACCCACATCACAAGGCATAAACATACAATACTGTACTGCAGTTGTAAGACAACTATGACCGCCCACAATAGCTAGCACCCACGTATCCAAGCAAGTGCTGAACAAGCGCGTGTGCTCCAAGTGGCCAAGCTGCCGCTCCGCTTTGGGCCCGCCCTGCCTGGCGGGGCGCACTGGGCGTCAATGCGTCACCGGTATTCAACCTTAAGGAAGCTTCGCCAAGGCATGAGCGTTGAGACATGCTGCTGACCAAGTCAATTCAAGCGTGGATGAGCCAGACACCGCGTTCAGAGTGGCTGCTGACGCGTGCTTTGATGCGGAGCAAAGGCTAATCATCAATATGTACTAGTGCGCGATCTGGAGCAAGAGTGCGCCGTGATGAGTGTTGCGTGCAGGGGGTCGACTCAAGAGGTGTGGCAGTGCCCTCTGCTCGTGGGGGTGGCAGCACGGCCTGACGGAAAACTGTTGTTGAGCACGGAGCAGCCGTCAGTATGCAAACGATTTGTGGCGCCAGCGTTCTGCTTGCAGCGCTGCTGGCACACGTTCGTCCATCCACCAGTGAGACCCCTCATCCCTCGTTGGAGTGGGCGGGGTGAGCTGAGACCCTGCCAATAGCGCTCAATACTCAAACTGCAGTCAAGCACAGTTTCTTGCCAACACTGCTCTAATGTAGGCTGATGCATTACGACGCGAGCGCCACCAGCTGCACGTCTCCTCCTGCAGACCCCATCACCCCTTGCTTTGCATTCTTTCTGTACAATCACACCTTGCAACTGCACGGGCCTGTGTACATGCACAAGCATGTGGGGCTGCTAATTCATTGCCGAATGGGTCAGGGCTTACAAAGCAAGTTAGTTGGGAAGTGGTGAGCCTGTCGGATTTGCTGCACCCCTTTGCAGACCCTTGCTGGAAAATTCTCCCCAGCCCGTCAGGGCTGGACTTTGCGCATCACCACCGGGCTCGCCGGTCACCTGGAGTGTAACCAGCATGCACCGCAGTCGGCGCCCTTCTAAAAAGACAGACTTGGTATAAGATTTCAGACGCAGCACGTGCGAGCAACCTTCACGACAATCCCCTCTGCTGCCATCGTATGTGAGCACCAGTAGCAGGTGCGAAGGGACGGGCAAGCGAGCTCGCTTGCCTGACTCAAGTCAGCAAAAGCGCAGGCGGCTTGGTTGGCGCATGAGTACAAGTGCGGTAGCTGCGCTACCTGCAGGCTCGTCAGTTGAGACTTGGATTCTGGTCCCATCATTGGTCTTAGCATTGGGACCGCAGATGCATGGGGCCTGCATGCAGAGTTGCACACCAAGGAATTTCATGTGGAACAGCAATGAAGCACAGACGATGCCACAGTGCAACTGCCATGGGCCTCGCGCTGAGCGGCTCTGTACGCCACAAAATAACCGGCGTGAACTGCAGAGCTGTCTGCATGCCGCGTCTGTGCATGCTTGTTCACAACCTCACACCCTGTGCCCGCTGCACACCTGTTGTGCACAAGCACCTGCGGGCTGGTGGTTGTGGTGGGAATCATCAAGTCTGCTTGGGGTGCTCAGGTACAGTAACCGGGTTCAAAGTTGAGCAAATTGATGTCCGACCAGCAACAAACCGATATGACATCTGCAGTACTCACTTCCTAGCACAGGCGGCACCACGGGTGGCGGGAGCGCTCATCACGACGTGGGCTCGAATCACATTCCTTCGGTGACAGTGCAGGCCGTTGAAACGTACGAAGCCGTGTCAGCTTTATAACCCAGGTTGCGGCCAGGCGTGCGCGCAGCTTGCCGCTCGCCTGCAGCGCGTGATCGTGATGCAAGGCGGCGCAGCAGCACCACCAGCGGCAGCAGCAGCGGGCCCTGGTGCGGCCAAAATGGCTATGGATGAGGACGAGCTGGTCTCAAACCTTCTTTCACAGTTGGGGCAACCTGCCGTGAAGCTTGAGCCGTCCGAGGCTGCAGCAGTCGTGCCGGCGGCGGCTGCATTGCCGGGAGCCCCCCGGCCGCCCCGACGCGCGGCGAGCAGCGGCGCGAGCGTCGCCACGGCTGGCCGTGGCGACGCGCCAGCTGTCAAAGCCTCGATGCTAGCGCCCACGCCAGCGATTGCCCTCGCCACGGCCAGCGCCGCGACTGCAGCGGCGCCCGCGTTGGCGCCGGCGCCGGCGCCGACTCCGGGTGTGGCCGGCGCTCGTGCCGCGCCCGCCCACGGCCGCAACGACGCCAGCAGCGGCGACAGCGCCCCCGGCACCAGCCACGACGGCGCCCTCAGCAGCGGGGCCATGCGCGCCGACGCGGGCGGCGGCGGCGGCGCGAGCGCCAGCGGCTTCGCCGCCGGCGCGGACGGCCCCTGCAGGCAGCAGCAGGTCTTCAGCCTCTCCCTCATCCGGCAGGACCGCGAGGCCATCCAAAAGGCGACCGTCCAGGAGTTGTGGATCATGGCGCAGGACTACCTGCTCACCCCCCGCCCCTCGCGCCGCACGAGCTCGGGCGCGGGCGCGGGCTCGGCTCTGGACGACCCTGGCTTCGCCGCGCCGTCCCACGCGCGCGAGCGCCGCAGCAGCGGCGCGCGCGGGCTGCGCGCGACGGAGAAGCGCAAGGTCGAGTTGCTGGAGGCTGAGCTGGCGGCCAAGATGGGGCAGCTGCAGCTGCTGCAGCAGCAGCGCAGCTGGCTGGCGGTGCGCGAGGCCGTGTTGAACGATCTGATGCGGGTCAACCAGTCGTCGGGGGCGCAGCCGCAGCAGGGGCAGCAGCAGCAGCAGCAGCAGCAGGGGGAGCAGCAGCAGCAGGAGAGGCAGCAGGACCTGTCGATGAGTCAGCAGGAAAGCGACGAGGCAGGGCAGGCAGCGCGGGCGGCCATGCCCGAGGCCAGGGGCGCCCCGAGCAGCCCCGACGACCGCGGCGCGGCGGCGGCGTTCGCGCTTGCGGCGGCGGCAACAGAGGCGGCGGGCCTGGGCCCCCCGCTCCCGCCAGATGCATGGGCAGCAGCCGCCGCGCAGGCGCGGGGCGGCGCGGACGGCAAAGAAGAGGGCGCGGCTGACGCGCGCGGCCTGCGCGCGAGGGGCGTGGACAAGACCGCAGCGCTGGTGCAGGCCTCATTGGCCGGGATCGCCGCCGACCCGTGAGTCACGCGAGCCCCCCGCCGATCCCGCCGCACCCAGCTCCCCGCGCCAAACCGCCACGGCCGCGACACTGCTGCTCCACCGCCGCCGCGCCTGCGGAAGCGGCTGCTTGGTTCTGCCCGCTCAGGCAGCTGCCCTGCCCTGACGCTGTGCGCGTCTTGACTCCCCATTTCCCGCCGCAGGGAGCTGCAGGCAACCCTCAAGAGCTGGTCAGTCAAGGATTACCTGGACGCCTCGCGGGAGTATGTGAAGCAGGTGTGTGTGCATGAAGCGTGCGTGCATATGCGTGTGCGTGCGTGTGTGTTTGTGTGTGTGTGTGTGTGCACGCGTGTGCGCGTGTGCGTGTGTGCGTATATGTGGGTGCGCAGGCATTCGTACATGCGTGCGTGCGTGCATGCATCAGTTCTAGTGGACGTGTGCATGCATATGTTATGCAATCCATTCCGGGCCTCACAGCAGTGCCAGACGCTCCTCGTCCTACGTCCATCTCGCGTGCTGCCTCGCTGCAGTCACCCGTCCGTCACCCATCGTCACCCTGCGGTCACCCCACCGTCACCCTGCGCCACCCGCAGTACGCTCTGTACCTCCAGTTCTGCGAGGAGGACCCCGGGTCCATGGCCCGGCTGGAGGCCGCCGTCGCGCGGCACCGGCGGCAGGAGTCGGCGCTGCTGGTGCTCAGCGTTGACCTGCTGTTTGCAGCACAGTACAGGTGTGTTGCCATGTGTGCGCGCGCAGGCGTGCCTGTGCTTGTGTGCGTGTTTGTGTGTGTGTGTGTGTGTGTGTGTGTGTGTGTGTGGTGAGCGTGTCTGTCAGTGTATGTGTGTGTATGTGTGAGCACTAGCGTGCGTGCTTCTGTGAAATGTGTCACTTGTACAGCAATAGCCGAGGCGTGTGAAACCGGCTGCGCCCGTTTGTCGCGCCCGTGAGCGCGCTGAATGGCTCGGCAAGCGCACGCACTGTGGCCGCCAAAGCCCCTCCACGCTACAGCGCCGCCGGGCCGCTGCGCCCCCGGCTGCTGCCCGCTTACCCTCCTGCCTGCCTGGCACAGCCTCAAATCAAATCATCCGCCGGGCCTTGGTAGGCCGACGGTGCATGCCTTTGCCCCGCCCCAACTGCTCCAAACCGCTCCGATTGCTCTGCCTGATGTCCCCTCCCCTCCCCTGCCCGCCGCGCGCGCGCCGCCCCCGCGACAGGCACCTTGAGACGGGGGAGCAGCACTCCGTCCCCGCTAGCCACTGGGCGCGCGCTCTGGAGCGCATGCGGCCGCCGCTGCCGCCGGGCACGGAGCGGTCGCAGTTCCACTCCATGCTGCTCTACCAGAAAACGATGAAGGTGGGCGTGCCGCACGCCGCGCTGCGTCGCGGCCGCCGCCCACGGCTCTGGGGTTTGGGGGGGGCATGTGGCCGGGAGAGGGTAGCGCTCATTGCAGGGTCGGCCGGCGCCTGCTGCACGGGCCCCCTGCGGGCACTCCCCCGGACGGCGGCAGCACACCAGAGGTTGCAGTTCAACAAATCCATATCGGGGCTACTGGGTCGTGGAGGCGGGGCTGACGGGCTTTGGGCCGCTGGCCTTTTCGACACGACTCCGCGGCGCGGCGGCGGCGGACGTCCACATGTGACCCGTGCCGGCCGCGGCTCGAGACTCCTCCGCTCCCCGCCCACCCCTCCCGCCCCTCCCCAAACCGCACTCATGTCGCCCGTTCGCGCGGTCTTGTGCTTCGCTTGTCAGCCCAACCCCGAGAACGCAGCCCTTGTCGCCTCAGCTCAAATGACCCCCCCCCTCTGCACCCAACCCCCAACTTGATTACGCCAGCAACTGGACGACGAGCGCCGCGCCATCCTGGAGGCACACCCGGACGTCACCGCGTCCGTCTCCGCGTCCGCGCTGCAGGTG